AGAGACAAATCACCACTTTCACTCAAAAACCAGGAGAAACATTTTACCAATGTTGGGATAGGTATCGAGACTTGCTTAGTACTTGCCCTCATCATGGTTTTGAAACATGGAGATTGGTTTCACATTTCTATGAAGGGTTAACACCTAAAGATAGGCAAATGGTTGAATTGATGTGCAATGGAACTTTTGAAGATAAAGACCCTGATGAAGCAATGGAGTACTTAGACTTGTTAGCTGAAAATGCTCAAAATTGGGACACCGCGGGTACTTGTGAGGCACCGAGTAAAACTCAACCTCATACATCTAGTGGAGGTATGTACAACCTTAGGGAAGATCATGACCTTCAAGCCAAGTTTGCATCTTTAGCTAGAAAAGTCGAGGCACTAGAATTGAAAAAGAGTGGTCAATTAAAATCTGTTGAAAACATTGTGTGTCAAATCTGTGAAACAAATGAACACTCAACCAACGATTGTCCAACCTTGCCTTCTTTTAAAGAATGTCTCCATGAACAAGCCCATGCTTTAAACAGTTTTCAAAGGGCCAACCACAACCCATACTCCCAAACATACAACCCTGGTTGGAGGAATCACCCAAATTTCAGTTGGAAGAGTGACAATGCACAAACTTCACAACCACCGTTTCAAGCACACCATAATTTCCAAAATTCTCATGGATATGCACCTCCTTATGCTCCACCTCCTAGAAGAAATCTTGAGGAAACATTGCATGCATTCATTGAAAAGCAAGAGACAATCAATACTCAACTTGCTCAAAACATGACAGATTTTAAAGATACTCTTGCAAAATTAACATCTGCTCTCAGTTTCCAAGAGAAAGGTAAGTTTCCATCTCAAACACAACAAAATCCCAAAGGGCAATACAATGCAAATGCAAGTAGTTCCGGAAGCCAACACATGGATCAAGTCAAATCAGTCACTACTCTGCGCAGTGGTAAGGTTATTGAAAAACCCTCTCTTGAACCTTATGAGAAAGATGATGAATCAATCTTTGAGGGTAAGGAAGGGGTTGAATCTGAAAATTGCAAAGAAACGACTGATTCACCGCCAGCACTTCCATTTCCTCAAGCCATGACCAAACAAAGGAAAGTCAATCACAATTCTGAAATTTATGAAATTTTCAAACAGGTAAGGATCAATATACCTTTGCTGGATGCTATTAAACAGGTTCCTTCCTATGCTAAATTTTTGAAAGATCTATGCACTGTGAAGAGGAAACTGAATGTGAAAAAGAAAGCCTTTCTAGCCGAACAAGTAAGTGCTATTCTTCAGAATAATAATGCTTTGAAATATAAAGACCCTGGTTGTCCTACAATTTCTTGCTTTATTGGAGAGCATAAAATTGAAAGAGCCTTACTTGATCTTGGTGCTAGTGTGAATTTACTTCCATATTCAGTTTTTCAGAGTCTCAATCTAGGTGAGTTAAAACCAACTTCTATATCTCTTTTACTTGCCGATAGATCTGTAAAAGTGCCTAGAGGAATAATTGAAGACGTGTTAGTACAAGTCGATAAATTCATTTATCCTGTGGATTTTATTGTCTTGGACACAGAACCTGTTGAAGCATGTAATTCATTTCCTGTTATTTTAGGACGTCCATTTCTTGCAACTTCTAATGCATTGATTAATTGTAGGAATGGACTGATGAAGCTATCATTTGGAAACATGACATTGGAGATGAATATTTTCAACATTTGCAAGCAACCTGGAGATGATAATGATTTACAAGAAGTAGATCATATTGACGAATTAGTTTATGATCAACTTGAATCTACTTTAAGTAAAAATGAGTTGGATGAATCTGAAGATTTGCAAATGATTTATTCTGAGAAAGAAATCATGGATTAAAAACGCATCGAAAATGTTGATGTGGATCATTTGTCAAAAGTGACACCAAATTCGACATCTAACATCACATCAATCGATGATTACTTTCCTAACGAATCCTTACTTTCTCTTAGTTCAATGCCTTGGTATGATAAAAATATCAATTTTCTTACTTTAAAAGATTTGCTAGCTGATTGGAGTACCCAAGACAAAGAAAAGTTTTTGAACGAAGTGAAGAGCTTTTATTGTGATGACCCTAACTTATTCAAGTATTGTCCTGATCAAATATTTCAAAGATTCATTCCCGACAATGAGGTAAGTAGTGTCATTAAACTTTGTCATTCTGAAGCATGTGGAAGTTATTTCTCATCAAAAAAGACAGCTTGGAAAATCTTTCAAAATGGATTTTATTGGCCCACCATGTTCAAGGACATGCGTGCATTCTGCAAAACTTGTAAAAATTATCAAAAAGTTGATGCTGGTTGACACGATGAAAAGATTGTCTTCTCCCAAGTGCAGGAGTGTCGAAGTAATAAATAACCCGGCAAGACCGAGGTCGAACCATAGGGAGGTTAATTGTACAAATTATAAATAACAATAATACAATAATAATAACAATATCAACAACAATAATAATAATAGTAATAACAGCAATAATAATAATAATAATAATAATAATAATAAAGAAGATGAAGATGAGAACTTTGAGATGAAATATTAACGTAAAGATTAAACAACGATAACAATGTTTACTTTTGTTTACTTTTTATTTGTTTGTTTACTTTTGAAAAAGCATGTATATGTACAGGTAGTTGTGATTGTGACTCACATCTTCCCCTGGTTTTACGTCCAAGAACGGCTTAAACGACCTCTATGGGTCGGGGATAGGCTTCCCATCTAGTTTTCTTAAAAACTAGCAAACATGGTCTTTTTTAGCAGATTCCCAAGACTATGTCGAGCATGTTCCTTATGGAATATTGGCCATAAATCATGAATTGCACGATGCTTATCTCGATTATGATGAGACTTAAGAGTCAATAGAAGATTATCTAAAGACTGATTATAATAGACCTTGTTAAGAATGATTACTAAGATGCGTCTCAAGAGTCACTTTAACAAAAGAACTCCTTTACTCTGCCATCCTAGTAACAACAATTATGCACATGTTTTATGAAATGAAAAACAATTTTTTTTTATCAACTACTACCCTCTCCCCCCAACCAAAACGAGACATTGTCCTCAATGTTCTAAGGTAGAAAGATAGAGTATAGAAGATATCACCTGAAATAACGAACACTGACAAAACTTGAAACACACTAGAACAAAAATAAGAAATAACAAAACACAATCATAAAACCAAAAAACACAAGTTTTTACAAACAAAAAAAATTCAAATCGCAGTTGTGAATGTGGCTCACATCTTCCCTTGGTTTTACGTCCAAGAACGGCTTAAACGCCCTCTATGGGTCGGGGATAGGCTTCCCATCCAGTTTTCTTAAAAACTGGCAAACAGGGTCTTTTTTTAGTCAGATTCCCAAGACTATGCCAAGCATGTTCTTTATGAAAATGGGTTCCTAAGTTATGAATTGCACGATGCTTATCTTGACTATGATGAGACTTAAGAGTCAATAGAAGATTATCTAAAGACTCTCTGTGTTTTGAAATAAATCCCACCTTTTGATAATTTTCACAGTTTTTGCAAAATGCATGTGACTCCTTGAATATGGTTGGCCAGGAAAATCCACTTTGTAAGATTTCTACAATCCTCTTTTTTGAAGAGAAATGATCCCCACTTGCCTTAGAGTGACAAAATTTAATGAAATTACTTACCTCATTGTTGAAAATGCATTTTTGAAATATTTGATCTGTGATGACCCTAACTTATTCAAATATTGTCCTGATCAAATATTTCAAAGATTCATTCCCGACAATGAGGTAAGTAGTGTCATTAAACTTTGTCATTCTGAAGCATGTGGAAGTTATTTCTCGTCAAAAAAGACAGCTGCAAAAATCTTTCAAAATGGATTTTATTGGCCCACCATGTTCAAGGACACGCATGCATTCTGCAAAACTTGTGAAAATTGTCAAAAAGTTGATACTGGTCAAAAAGTTTTGTTTTATAATTCTCAACTCTATTCATTCCCTAGAGAGCTAAGATCAGATGAAGCAATCCTTATGGGATCTGTGATATTGAGAATTCAATGAATGACAATGTTTTTAAGGAAAATGGACATCGTTTGAAAGCTTACTTTGATAATTTTCCTAGTGAAAATGAATCAACTAGTTTGAATGATCTTGTAAATAAAGGTTGATTATTTTTTTTCTTCATTATTTTTGTGTTTCTTTTTGAGTGATTTTTACTAGCTTCTCTCACCTAGTCAAATGGCGGACAACGGTACTCTATGACTTAAGTCAGTTCTTTCAGTTTCCTATAATAACTGATATTTGTGTATATATTTGTGCAATTCTTTGAATCTCTCTTCCAATTCTCATTTGAAAATGGACATTAATTTTGAAAAATTGAAAAAGTATTTTTCCGCTCTGCCTCAGAATATGATTACAAAAATTTACCGTGCTAGATGTGCAAGATTGAGATTGTTAATGAATCATGGAATTCCTGAAGATATTCGCTGGTTGATTGAAGCAAAGGTCCGATTATTAGGTGAGTCCTAATTCCTTCATTTCACACATGCTTGGAAAAGATAAAAGCACTTTTGCAAAGAAACGTCGTGCAAAACAACTGAAAGTCTATCATCGATGTGCCAGATGGACTTGTAATGCACAATAACGTTCTTTAGGAATGGTATCTATAAACCGTGAAGATAAAATACAATTCATTAAGGATGGCCTGAGTAAGGAATCTTTAAATAATCTTCTATTGACTCTTGAGACGCATCCTAGTGGAGATGTGCATTGTGCAATTCATGATTTATGGTCACTATTTCATAAAGAACATGATCGACTTAGTCTTGGGAATCTGACTATAAAAGACCCTGTTTGCTAGTTTTTAAGAAAACTGATAAGAAGCTTATCCCCGACCCATAGAGGGTGTTTAAGCCGTTCTTGGACGTAAAACCAAGGGAAGATGTGAGCCACAATCACAACTACCTGTACATACACATGCTTTTTCAAAAGTACATAAATAAATAAATAAAGAGAGAGAGAGTGTGTGTGAGACTCTAGCTGACCTACATATAGGTGATATGATTGCCTTTCTAATTTCGCATCTATAAAACCCTCTTTTCCTTCCTTTCATTTCTACTCAACCCATACATTCAACAAATAAAGAAGTGTGTAGAAATGGCAAGTTCCTCAGGTCATCATACAAGAAATATTTGTGTTTTCGGTGGATCTAATTCTAGGAAAGAAAAGGAGTTTTTAGAATCAGCAAATCATCTTGGTCAAGTGCTGGCTGAGAGAAAGATTCATCTAGTGTATGGGGGAGGCAGTCTTGGGTTAATGGGAGGTGTGTCAATAACTGCATTTTTAGGAGGTAGTCAAGTTTTAAGGGTCGTCCCCAAAACTTTAGCACAAGGGGACATCATTAGAAAAACAATTGGAGAGGAACTTCAGGTCTCCACAATGTCAGCTCGAATGAATGCAATGTTTAACCATGCTGATGCCTTCATTGCTTTACCAGGTGGTCTAGGTACATTGAAAGAGATCTTTCATATTTCCTCTTGGGCCTAACTGCACGTTCACCATAAACCCATAGGTTTGTTAAATGTTAATGGTTATTATGATAAGTTGTTGTCTTTTCTTGATCATGCTATGAAACAGGAATTTCTAACATCTTCTGCACGACAAATCATAATCTCTACTGCTACTCGCTGAACAATTGATTGACCAACTACAATCTTTCATTCCTGTAATTGATCCTTCCATGAGTCATATAAATTGGTCAACTAGGAAAAGCCGTAAAAAGCTTAGATTGGATTTGAGCCTTCATTTATAAATTTTTGTGTTTTTTGGTTTTATTATTGTGTTTTGTTGTTTCTTATATTTGTTTTAGTGTCTTCTATACTCTATCTTTCTACCTTTAAACATTGAGGACGATGTCTCGTTTTAGTTGGGGGGAGAGGGTAGAAGCTAAAAAAAAAATAAGTGTTTTCTATTTCATAAAGCATGTGCATAATTGTTGTTACTAGGATGGTAGAGTAAAGGAGCTCTTTTGTTAAAGTGACTCTTGAGACGCATCTTAGTAATCATTCTTAACAAGGTCTATTATAATACTTTCTGAAATATTCAGATTTACAAACTCTTGCATTATTATCACTTAATTCTACTCATATACTCATTTAACATGTATTCTTAAACCTTAATTTTCACACACACACTTTAACATATGGTTGTGGGTTGCACATTGGATTATTTCATTATTCATGTTCTTTTGTTAAAGGTAACAACTAAGGGAAAGGGATAGTATATAATTTTTTAAAAAAAAAAAGCAAGAAAAAAACAAAGAAAAAAAAAGGAAAAATTGATGATAATAAAAATGTAGATAAGTTTGGTTTCATAGCCTCCCTAACCTAAGCAATTAAGCCCGAAGGGGTGTTTTAACACCTAATACCCTAAAGTCAACTGACTTGGGAGCTATTGGCCCAACGCTTGTTACATGGGTTGAGGAGAAAAGCTTAAAGGAATCAAACATTGCACTATCTACATATCAGTATCTGCGACCCGAGTTACTAAGCTCGTAGGGGTGTCTTAACACCTAATGCCCTAAGACCAACTGGTCTGGGAGTCATTAGCTGAAAGCTCGTTACATGGGTTAAAGATGCATGATGTTTTTAAAGTATATGTATATAGAGTTAAAAAAAAAAAGACAAAAATAGTAATCCCAACCCAAGGAAGTTAACCTTAAACATTAGAACAAAAATTTTGTTTTCTTCCAAGAAAAGCCCCATAATTATGTGTTGATACATTGAGCACAAAAGAAAGGTTTATTAATATCTTGTTAAGAGGTATTGAGCAGATATATAAATTTAATGAGAGTTTGTTTATCTGGATAGACTAATGGAAGTTAAATGATGAATACCTTGCTTTGTGAAATTTGCAAATTTGTTTTCTATTTTAACGCTTTGATTACTAGGGACTAGTAATAAGCTGGTTGGGGGGTGTGATTAGTACTTAAAAGTGCATTTTTATCATGGTTTTATATCATCATTTTGCACTTGAAGTATCAATAACTCCTTAACTAAAATATGTTTTATAATAATGTATCTAATAATATAAGATACCTATAATTTATGGTAAATGTCTATTTTTAATGCAGGCCTATCACATAAATGAAAGGATTGATTGATGACTTGAAGAACTTAAATTGCAAGGATAAAGAGATGGCCAAACTTAGAAAAGAGATGTCGGTGCAATCCAAACCGGAACACTGTTCGGTAATTGGGTCATATCTGGAGCTACAGATCTCAGATTTAGGTCCAATTTATATGGATGGAAAGGTAAGACATAGGCCTACAACTTTCATATGGAGCCCAAGATCTAAAAAGGCCATTATCAAGTCCAAATTGTAGCAACAACAAAGAAGCCCGAATCTGTCTTCCAGCCCGAGCACTATTCGGTATTTTGGCCATATCTGGAGTTCTAGAAGTCCAAATGAGCTGAAATTTTTACACAAGAAAGCTGAGACAATTGCCTACAACTTTCATGTTTACAACTGGCTCCAATTTTGACGTTATCAATGACGTTTTGGGCAGACAAGAGAAGATAAGGATTGTCACCAAGTCAAAAGTTGGTCACCCACTTATCAATTAGTCATCAAATCAATAGTTCCCATTTTTGGCCTATAAAAGGAGGCATTTGCCATGCATTTAGGCATCTTGATTTCCAGATCAAGATCATGCTCTTCCTTTCTCTCTTTGTATTTTTTATGCTTTGTTTTCATTAATATTAAGTTTATGCCTTTCATTTCCTTTCCTTTACTTAGTTAACTTTTATGTTCTTATTTTGTTTATCTATTTTGCTTTCTTTCATTATGTCTAGCTAAGTTAATTATGTCAAGGTGAAAAGGTTACACTAATGGTGTAAGAATAAGTATAATGTAAACTTAATATGGACTTTAATGTTTGATACTAACATGTTTTATATTTGCTATCTTGTTCACTCTTTAATACTTTGCTTGTTAAATGACTAATCTTGATTTATGTTGTATAACACTTGGTACAACAAATGCTTGGCACTTTCATAGCCCATAATGTATGGTATAACCGACACCTGAGCTATGAAAGGAACTTGATTTGTTGTTAACATAAGTTATAATCATGAATGCTTGACGAGATTTACAAGTATTAGCATTAATTGAATAAGATGACTAATGTAATCATGTTAACAATATATAATCTGATTGGAACCTCCTTTGTGTGTGGTTTCCAATTCAATAATAAGAGTTTATACTATACTTGTTTGATATACCATTAGTGGAACCTCTAACCTTGACATTTGTTATTATCATTGTTTAATCGTTACATTAATATTCCATCTCAAAGTTCTCATCATCTTCTTCTTCTTCTCTTTCTGGTTCGACCCCGGTCTTGCCGGGTTATTTATTACTTCGACACTCCTACACTTGGGAGAAGACATCAATATTTTAGTCGTGTCAGTAACTACTCCTATAAATGCAAGGAAAGGTTATTCAACTATAACAACTTATAAACTAGGAAAATTAGATTATTTAGCCTTTATTTTCCTTGCTATATATGGTAATAATACCAGGCTTTTTGTTATTTTTATTTCTTTATGTTTTGAGTTATATTTAGGTTTAATTGTAAGTAAATCTCATATAAGTCCATATAAAAAGATTATTAGCATTTATTTTAATCTAGAATGAGTATAAACAAAGTTATAATCAGATATATAGGGTCACCAATCTTGAGATTAATAAGAATTCTTTGTCACACATTGTCGTGTGAGTCAGTGAAATGTTCTCTTTTGCTTGGTTTTTTAAAATACTAAAAATAATTTATTGAACAATAATTAACTTCCTGACATCATTGTTATACTTCTCATTCAAGTTATCTTTGTGTCATATTATATTTATTTAGTTTTTAAAAAAATTAATATTTTTACATATAGATTGTTTAACCGCGTGTTCAAAAGATTGTCATCAACAAACTATAACAGCAATGACAAAAATGTTTTTTGGAATCAAGTTCAACAGATAAACATGCGGCCATTTTACAAAATGCTCTCTCATCTTTCCCCGTTTATATTCATCCATGCCTTTTCTGATCAATCTAGTGTGGTTAGTGGACTAAAATATTTACAATCTTTGGTGTAGATTTCCTCAAGCTGTTGCACAATGAATTTCGAGTCAGCAAAATAGGGCCCTTTCTTCTCCGAAGAGGCAAGGCTTGGCAATTTCCCGTTAACATCGTTACTTGCTCAAATCTAGCCCAAGCAGACAGTGGAGACTCTTTCTCCTAATTAAGCGAGTACCTAGAAGGTTACAAGGATTACCTTTTCTATCAAACACATCAACTGACAGATGGCATCAACTGGCTGCTTCTTGTTATGCTCAGAAAAGTGCAGAATTGGAAGCCATCGTTCACAACAAAACCATATCTTAAGAGATATCTGATTTTTCCACGAAAGGTGTGACACATACCAAATTATGGACCCACCACAAGATTATCTCCTGAAACTATCTTGCAAACTTTACTGGCGGCACAAACTGATAAATTTAATTTCACTTGATCTGTTTGATTAGACTCATGACTCAATTCCAGCCTATATATTTCAGTTCTAAAGCCCAACCATAGCACGAGTTCATACTCATCCACAGCCAAGCCTCCTTTCAACAAACACTTCATCTTTTAGCTTCTCTTTCTCTTGTAGCTCTTCAAACTCCCAAGAAAAAATATTTGAAAAGAATGGCAAATTCACGCATAGCAAAGTTCATCACAGAGGCTGCACCACCACAATACATTAATGTCATTAGGCACAGAGCATCGAAGCTGCTGGATACAATTAGCGAGGAGGACAGAGATGTAGCTGCAAGTGATTCTTCTCCCATGTCACCAACTTCTTCCACCATTGTTACTACTAGTGCTACATATGTTGCTGCTGCTAATTCCACTTACTTTCCCAGAGGGATTCAAAGATCTTTTTCAACCTTTGAAAACTGAAAACACTTTCGAGAACTGTTTCATTAC